TGTACTCTGAGAACTGTTTAAGTCATCTGCAGTATTCCTCATTTAGCTTTAAAATATTCCCACCCGCTCCTGCAATAGGAAAAACTAAGTATAGCTGGCAGGYATAAAACCAGCCTTTTCCCAAGTTAAATGAACAGTCATCAAAAAAGTAAGAAATATTTTCTAACAGTGAATCCACAGTCAAAAGTCTGGGATGGGAAGCTGGAAAATACAGGAAGTGGCTTATAGGAAACAAACTGGATTCATGTGTATGGTGAATTCAAGGAGGGTGGTGATGGACATTCTGTTTTGATTTATGAGTTGGGGTCAGAGTGGAAGTGGAAATGCCTTCTCACATCACCAAAACGTGAAGCAATGAGCTCTTATACCCTCTGCCTAAAATTAGCATTTCTGTCATCACATTAATGCATAAACATACTTTAAATTAATGTCTCTTAAACAAAAGAAAATGGGTCCCACTGACAGCAATGTGAGCCCATGGAGTGCTGACTTTTAAAAGTCAGGAGAAGACTCAAAGATTTACACTCTATTAGCAAAACTGTACATTAATTCTAGMAGTGTTAGCTGTTCTTAATTGGAAATTTTCTTCAGATAGGAATAAAAATAACAATAAGGTTTGTAAGTGACCTTTCAGAACTCATAGAAATATCAGTTGGTTTCCAGGAAATACAGTGGTTCCATCAGCTGAATTTTGGCTCCTATCATATAACAAAAATTTTATTTCAGGACCCAGAAACAGATAGTATGCAAGATTAAAAAAAGCTGCACTAAGAGAAAAATGGGGTACCTGATTTGACTGTAAATGAGCAGATCTTCCTATTTGAGAGAAGCACTGCCTTTAGCCTGAAAACTGCAGATTATGGTCATGCCTGAAAACTGCACATTATAATCATGCCTGAGCTGCAGGTACAGCGTTTTTTGTTGCATTCTCCCACTCTGATTTCCTCAGTTAAACACATAGGGTATTTAATCAACTTTCTGTCCATGCACCTGCTTTGAGAACCAGAGAATAATTTTGATGGTATTTGATAAAAAATTATTTCAGAAGTTGCTAAATTCCAGCAGGCAGTTTGGGGGCTACACGGCCTGGCCATGCCAAGTCATGAACATTTTCTTGGTCCTGGGAACTGAGACAGATTTTGAGTTGTCCAGCAAGTCAGCAGCAGTGACAAACCCATAAACTGCTGCTGGCACATGACTTAGGGACAGGGAGGAGATGGRTGGTGACTGAAGATTTCTCTGGCCTGAGCAAGGGCAGGAAATGCCAGAAGAAAGGACAAAATTGAGTGGTAGGGCCAGACACGCCAAGGACACAGGAAATCAGTCTTCCTAGATCTGCTGTTCACAAAGAAAACTTACAAAAGCATTTCTTAGGTATGTGTTACCTGCCTGCTTTAAGCATTGCAGTACCTGTTTTCATTTTACTGGGCTGCTGAAATGAAAACCAGGGAAATCAAATGCATGCAGGAAGCAGAGTAACACACTGCAGTCGAGTACCAGTGTTTCCTGTTCTACAGGGCTCCACAACAGCCAAACCACGGCAGCACTGAGCACCCATTGCCCATCCAAATCCAAACACTTGCCAAGGTAGTGGCAGTGCTCTATTAATCTCTGCTCAGTCTCCACAGCACATTTACAGCTGTGACCCCASTCAAAGTTACCTCCCAAGCAGAGGGAGTCCTCCAGGGCTCAGAACTCCGTGTGAATCTCTACCGTGTTCTCCTAACACAGGCTGAACAGCCCCACTGCTGCTGCCTTTGTACTCGATGTGGTGGTGCCCTCCCCACAGAATTGYGTCTCCAGCTCAAGTATCAGCTCTCCTCATCTTCCGTGTCCACTCCTCTCCAAGTCAACTCTATTAACCCACCAAGTTCGGTCATCCTGCATAGGCTGGCAAAAAGCATTTGTCATGTTGGCTTTATGGTAAACAAAGAAAAAGGATGTGAGACCCTAAGAGGAGTTTTGCCCCTTCCATTCCCTCCCCAAAAATCTCCAATTCCTCCTGGAAAAGCATGTACAGTTCTGTATATGAAATGCTTTTTTTAGAGTTAGATAARTTCACTGCTCAAATCTCCTTCCTCTCCCAGAAAATGAAGTCCTTCACACAATTTTAAAATTAGTCTTATGCAAAACCTAGTTCTTTGTGAAGGAGCATCCAGCCGTAAATATTGCATGAGGTTTACAGGTAGCTTAGAATGAAGGTGACCTCTGCTGTGGCAAACTTAATYGGTTGTAAGAAATCCTCAGCAGAAAGTATTCTGCTCCCTCCGGAAGAAGTTATGCTTCYGTGCTCTGAGCACAAATGGAAAGAGCTTTAGCTGGAGCAAAAGATCAGGAGGGTGAGCTGGCTGTAAGCACCTTAATAAAGTACATGTTTGCATTCCATTATGCTGCACATCAATAGCTGAACCTTTTCAATAGTGAATACGGTCWTAAATCAAAGCCAAGCGGTCAAAGTACAATCGCTGGTCTTTAGCAGGTGCGGGTGAGGCACCGGCACACCTTGTGGGACAACGTGACCCACGGGTAGTGCTGCGTGGGGCTTCGAGAACAAAGCTGGCACAGTGTGTAGCATTCATGGGTGTGATTAGCACTAGTGCTGCCGTTGACCAAGGGCTAGCAATTTGCAGTGTCTAGAAAAAAGTGGTATTTTAAAAACTGTACTCCACAGCTTACTGTGGTCCCCTCTCAGTCCATCTCAAACACGGATTTGGGTTGAGAAACACCCCCCTGTGGCAATTTCAAGAAGTTGCTTAGTGTAACAATGTAAGAATAACTTTTGCCCTGGACAGGGGGAAGTGCATTGCTAAGACAGAAATAAAAGGTGTTTAATAATCCCCCCAACACAGACACTCAGCAGACAATTTCAAGATCACCTCTGACTTCCCACAGCCATCCTAACTCCACTGCACTGAACTTTCCTCTCTCCTGCACCAGCGGCACCTCTCCAGMAGTACAGCAGATCAAAACTGCAGCTTCCCCCTGAACAGTCACTAAAAACCAGGATATAACCAGAAAAGCCTCATCACTGCTGATTGTCAAGTCTGCTCTGAGTTAGCGCATCACTTGCAAAGTGGACCTTTAACATACATTCTCATTTCAGGACAAATATGTCAAAGTATATTTTATTGACATTCTTCAAACAGCCTGTTGGAGAGTAGTAACAGTATTTAAAAAAAAAAAGAAGGAAAAAACAAGATAAAAACCTGTAAAGCTGCTAGCTTGCATTCAGTGTTAACACTTGGAGGTATAAACAGAAGCCTGAAGTAAAAATATGAAGTGTATTTCCAATGCTTCAGTGCAGAACAACAGCAACAATGGTATTTACTCTACATTAGAAGTGTTCCCATGTTCAATTCCAGATATATGCTTCTCTTCTATATATATTTCTGATAACTTATGTACAAATAAGATGTCCAACATCTGCTCTTTAATACAAATATGTAATCTTCATGACTGAAATATTACAACAGTTTGATCAAAAGTATAAAAAAGTAATTTATTTTCCTATTTTTTGTAACGGCAGCGTTTAAAAAACCCCACCCTTGAACCCAAATGACCTTAGAATGACAGGTATTTCTTCACCGTAATAATATACTGCTCATTCAACATGCAATTCATTATTGCATACGTGAGTCATATGAACTAAGTCTGAAGAAAATGTGCTGTACAGCCCATTCTAGCAAGTGCTAGCTGTAAAGATCATATGTATCACAGAAGAAAGCATAAGTACTAGTGTATTTTTAAATAAAACACTACAAACTCAAGTATTGTCCTTGCGCTAAGACTTTAAGGCAATTAAGAGCTGGGAAGCTTCAGTTTGGCACAGCTGCATCAAGCTGCATCCCCGTTCCCAATTATGAGAATTTATTTTCAGAGGGCTGCTGATGAATTGTTGCTAWACATTAATACAACTCAGTATGAAGTGATAAGTCAGTAACAAAAGTTTAATATCCCCAGTTTCACTGAGCTGATCAAATTTAAGCAACAGTTTATCCACCAGCTAAGGTTTCCAGCATGGATTTCTAAATTGTTATGAGAACAGAGAAAATATTGAATGTCAATTTTATGACTTGAATCTGTTCTTGGGGTATTAGAGAATTTAAGGGTTCAAAAAAGATGTGACAGTCAAATAATATTCAGCTTTAAGGAGAATAATTTTTTGCAGTAAAAATACTTTGTATAAACATACACACAGTAGATCCAAGTCAACAGGCATTTCTTTATGGCTTTTTTCACTGAGGTACTGTTGTAACATCCAGCAACAGGACACAAGTGTTCTATGGTATAAACACCACATTCATAAGCTGTACCACCAACTCATGACAAGTGGCAACAGACTGCAAATCCTGCTTCACTGCAGGATTACAGGAAAAGAGTCTTCCCTGCTATGTGGAGCGTCTCAGTGCAAGCTACAGAAAGCCTTAAAGGCAACTGGCATCATTGGGGGAAAGCTAAAATCAAAGTCTCACTCTACTTAAAAGAAAAAAAAAAAAAAAACACTCGTGGCAAATTGAAATCTCATTTCTTAAAATTAAGAGCAAACTTAATATTCCAAGGCAGCGAGGGCATGTAGCACAGCAGCCACACATTAAGATTTGAAATGTGTCATTAAGCTCTTGCATCTGACCCTTGAGCTAAGTGCATGCACASGCTCAGAGCAGCCAACCTGTGACCATGACACCACACAGACCAACACTGACAAAGGGGACAGGGCAAGCACACAACTTCTGTTGGTCCAACAGTAGACAGAAAACCCCTGGTGACCATGARTGTATTCCTCAACTGTCAAAAGCTGATTTGTGGATGCACAATTAGTTGCACCTTTCACTGTTTACGTGGGAGGGAAAAATGCAAATCACAGTACTCCACTCCCAGCACTCTTAACATAAGAAAGAGATGCTCTGTTAAGATAGCATGGTTGCTGCTGTATGAATTTATCATTCCACCTTTACAGCAGAAAGTATTCTTTTGCTGTTTTTCTTTTTTAAACAGAGGCCATATCGTTACTCCAGCCAAGACCCCTGTTTTTATTACACCCATGCTAGAAATATGTTTCTGCAATAAATACTGCAGGAGTGAAATGAAGTTCAAAACATGCTCAGTTCATTATTGAAAGTAGTTCTTTCCAATCAAGGTTTTTTAACCCCAAAAMCCCATTAAACAGGTTGTAGATGCTCGAGTTCCTTATATGAAGACACAGCACAACATTTRAAACTCAGTGCTTAGCCACATACAATCCATACTGTAATCTATATACATGTTACAACATATCCCCACTTAGATCAACAAATTCATCATCCCTCTTGACCAAGTCATCTTCATCTTCCAAGTCTTTCCAGGTGCTTGTGGGTAAAGCTGGTTTGACAGACTGTCTCTGAAGTAAAGCAAACGGAAACAAGGATGACAAACGGGCAGAATTCCTCAGCATGGGAACAGAATGCATATCTCCAGAAACAGCCTGACTGTGYTCTTCATCCATTTTCACCTGCAAGCTTTGCACTTCCTCCATCAAGTCCAAAATCTTGGCAGCTGTAGCTATTGTTCCACCACCATGAAGCTGGGCCTCAGGAATCCATCGCAGGTAACGCTGTGCCCAGACTTTGATTTCGGGGCCATCGATGCGAGGCAACAGWAGACCATGGTAGTCGACAGGTTTGCTATGCCAGCTATCATAAAACTCCCTTAAGCTATTAGGGGGCTCATCTGAAGAATTTATGAACTTGCCAATTCTTTTACCCAGAATGTTTTTAATTAAATGATCTGTTTCCTCCCTAAAAAATCCTCTCTTCGTGGAAGGCTTTGCCTGTGTCAGTGGCAATGAAAGCTGCCGTTGATGCTTTAAGAGAAAAGAAAAGAAAGATACTGAGATAAATATTAATGGGGCTTCAGAAAGCAGCTATAAGAGGAAGAAAAAAAAAATTGTATTCAGAAACAACTTGTAAGCAATAAAGCCACTTGAGCTATAAAGCAAAGCAGTGGCTGTGTTTAAACTGTTATTTTTAARTATTTCACAGATCATACTTAGAATTGCCAGCTACCTTCCCTGCACTAACCAAAAGTAACACTGATAAAGTAATTTTCTTTGAAAAAGCAAACCCTTTGCAAACCCTTTGCTTACATTCAAGTATTACAAGTGTCCGTGTTTAGTTGAAGCAAAGAGCACTTGATTTACAGGTTTTTATCCAGTGGTCYCTCATTGCATCTCACCATGTAAGAGATTAATGCTGTAGATCATACTGGCAGTGTCTCACTTGAGAATGCCTTGTAGAGAAATGAATTTCACCAATGAATTACAATTGAAAGAGGCTACTCCAAACAATAATTTTTCCCTGAGTTTGTGCTACTTTCTAGTAATGAGGTGATCCATCCACATCCTTCATTCCCCAGATGGTTTTTGCTGTTGTTGGTCCCCCTCCCACTCCAAGTGCCCCCAAACACCCCAGTTACACTGAGACAAATTAATAGAGGCAAACAGAATCCTGCTATGGATTTCAGTTAGGTACTTCATGGAACAATTCAATAAACTCCCTTCAAACATGTCAGTGCAACTCATGTGAATGTTAAATCTCATGACTTACCACTTGCATAAAAGTATGAAGAAAAAGAATCCCTAAGTCCATGGCTACGAATAGTTACTGTAAAACATTTATATACAACTGAGATGGATGCAAACTGGGTTCCTAATATCCAGGTGAGTCTGAGGTATACATGCATTTTGTTAGCTAAAGAASTCTGCACCAATACTTTCACTGTGAGTACATTTGAAATAAGAGATGTGCAAAGTATTTCTAGAATTTAAAAAAAAAAGTTATGCAGCACGTATCTTACTTTGAATCGTGCAGTTTTCCGTTGACTTTTATCTGGTTTTGGTTTCTCTGCATAAAGAGGGTTGTTCAGAAAAGCCTGGGCCTTGGGGTCAAACTGCACAGACCAGTCCCACACAGTAAGGAATCTGAAAGGACCACTTTGTGTCTTGAGGCTTTCACCACTCTGCCAAAACAAACAGGTCACATTTAATACTGCTAGAAGGGAATTCTGACCTAGTCAAGGTGAAATTAAGAAAGTGTCTTTTCAGAAAAAGGGCCAGGGAGCTGCAACAACACTCATGCTTTCTATGCATTCAATAATGGAGCAACAGCAGTGCAATTAGACTTTCACAGTTGAAAATAAGGTTAAATATTCTCAGAAAATATCCAAGTTTTGAAACTTGGGCAAGAGACAGACACTGTGATTCTTCAAACACTGAAGGCATGTTGGGATTCCAAATATCAAAATTTAACTGCAGTCATGCAGTGCTACTGGTCTGGATTTTTCTGATCGACCATTTGTTTATATGAAAGACAGTGATCTTCACTTTTTCCTTTAGTCTCTGTGCAGAGCCTTACTGAGAATACTCCCATTGCTCTCAGCTTCTTAGGCTAGAGAAGAGCATGAACCAAATATAAATCAACATTCAGGAGATGCTGACTTTGGAATAAAACAGAATATAGTACATAAGAATGTCATAAATAACTTATTCTGCAGGACAGCTGAATTCCTTGTAGGYTCAGGAGCTCCAATTTCACTAAATAGCACTAAACATGAAACTACAGCCAACCATTATAGGATATGTATTCCTTCTGTCATCACAAACTCCCAAGTCCTGAACTTGATTCCTTMTAGCCAAAATTGCATTCATTCACCTTTCAATGCACTTCAATAAGTATGGAAAAAGCTGCTGCTGGTAAWTAGCTTTTTTTGAGTTGGTCAAACTCATTCTCAAACACACTGCCTCCACAAAATAACAAACTCTTACCGTATTAGTGTCTCTTTGATGCTGAGAGTTGAAGAAGAAAGTGCTAAAAATAGGCACATAGAGGCTGTCTGACAAGACAGTTAAGTAAGTTTCTGTGAACTCAAATGCTGGAGGATACTGTTGTACCAGCTGCCAAACACAGTTTAGCAGGAGCAGAAAAACAGGAGCCTAAGAAAAGAAAATATTGTATCAGCTTCAAAAGAGTCTCCACCATGCAGACTATTTATTTTATAGTATTTAGTGTCTCCAGACACAAACCCCAAGGCAAGAAGAAGCCTGATTAACTACAGAGCTGCTACATATACATTTGGCTGAACACTGAAGAAGTATTATCTTAGCTACCCTTGGCCAATTATTGACACAAGAGTTGAGCACTTTCTATTCTGAATTTGAAAGTTGCCACAATGCAGCCTTTTAAAGTTGGCAAAGCAATACTAGTTTATAACAATGCTTGATCACATTAGTCAGTTTATGCCTATTATTTCCATTCTGTAAAGCAATGGGATCTAGGCCCAAAGCAAGACAGTATAAAGCTGATCTCTAGATGTGACAGGAATAAGCAATTAACTTGAGTTATTTCTATGGACACTACTACCATTTAACACAATTTTCAAGGGCACAGGATACATGACTTTCAAAGGACTCAAAGACTGGGAAATTTTACATTTCTTCTCTTCAATAATAAAGACATTGCTGACCATTAAGCAGCTRAAACAGTGACACTGTGGGTTTATGGGTTGATGTCTGCAAACACAAAAAAACCCCAAAGGAACTGGAACTTCTGGACTGTCAGCTAAATCTCTCCTTAAGCTGAGTAAGGCTGTAAATAATAAGTAAGGAAAGCAATTTAAAAAAAAAAAAAAAACCCTACCTCCTCTTTTTCAGTTTTGTGTAAGTGGTTACAGCGATCCAAAAAGCCATGTCCTCCGATCACCCACTCTTTCTGAATAAGGCTCTGAAACCCTGACTTTGTTCTGCTGTATGAATCCATCATCACTTGAACCAGACTCGAGATTACACAGCACAGATCWGTAGCACTCTCTTCTACAAAGGAGAACAGAAACCATATTATTTATTGAGCCATTCCTAAAGCTTTGTGTAAAAAAGTGAAGCCATGTTCACATAAACAAAATCGTATTTCAGGATCAGAGCAGCACAGAAACTTTTCTAAACTAGAGAGAAGTTAATCCATGATTTCAAATATGAGATTACTTGCATGCTTGCTAGGAAAATGCTTTGACAATAAAACCTCAAGCCCCAACCTTCACTGCTGTAACTTTCCTGTGCCACTCAGTCTCCCACAAAGCACACCCCACCTCTCAGCCCAACTATTTGTCCTTATCCTTCCTATCCTCCATGYCTCTTTTCACAAGGTGAGAAACTGCCTCCTCATGCAACAATACATTCCTCACCTTTGCAAAAGGTGCCTTCCAAAAACACCTCTCCAGGTTTCTCAAATGGCAATATGTGGGAAAACCCCAACTAAATTACCAATCCAAGAATCACTTAAAGGTTAACATTAGCTTTGGTTTTCCATGTGATTACTCAGTCTAGCATAACAAGCTGCTTAACATATTTACAGTAAACATATTCTTCTATGTATTTTYAATAAAGAGGCTACAGAACATCCAGCATGTATCTAGAAAATAAAAAGGTTCTTTTGTAAAGTTTTCACGTTACTGGTCTTTTGTGTAGATATGGTTCCCCTCACCCTTAAAGTACAGCAAAGGGTCTACAAGATCTTAAATAAAACGGGAAATAGGAATGTTACCTCCTCTTTATGCATGGCTCTTTGGCCAATTTATCAGCAGCTTTCTCATTCATATCCTCTCCTAGCCAGGAACTGTGCTTACCATGTTTTTTTAACTAAAGGATGCATTTCCAGGAGTGTAAGAGATTCAGGTGTCTTACTAGAGTACTGTACACATGTAAGTAAATCTGTGCCATAATTATAAACTTACAGCTGCAAGCTATAAAAAAAAGAATTTTAAAAGTACATAGGACATATATACCATATACAATATACATATATACACATAAATATATGTATACACTACAGACATATATACATATATCTTTATACAAGACAATCTCTTTAAATACTTACCTATGAGGAGAACGTTTGTATGCTGTATTTCCAAACACTCAACAACTTCTATTGCTTTCTTCAAAACTCTCCTGTGGTGGTACAGGAAAAGTTAAGTGAATTTTCTTATATTAGTTTCCCCTAGACAGGGTTAGAATGCCATACTGGAAGTTTGACTAGTCCTTTAAAACACAAAACCCATGCTCAGTTTCCATTCTGGCTTGCCACTAACCATGCATTTTTAGTTGCTATGATACAATACTTTATTCTGGATTAAAAGCAGCCATCACACACTGMAGTATTAAAATTGCCAAAAACCAGMTCTTTATCCTGGAAAGAGTCAACATCACCACATTTCAGTTTTAATGTATTACATACTACATTTCTTCCAAAATCTGGTTTTAAGAGGCAGAAGGGAGGATAAGCAATCAGCTCTTGTAAGCATTCAGACAAATTTATTCAGAGAACATTACTACACAAGGAAGACTGAGTGGAATTACAGATCACATAAAACCAGATGTAATACTGTTGGCTTCTAAATCTTCATAAAGTCGCTTATTTTTAGCAGAAGTCTGCACACAAATTAGGATCCYTGCAAGTGCTTAGGTCAGTAATAGAAGCTGATAGTTTATTTCTTAAGTGTGGAGTTGTCAGATTTTTTGTTCTGTCATCTAGAACAAGTGAGAAGGCATTCTTAACRAATGCAAGAGCCAAGAACAGGCTGATCCAAGAACCAGCTGGATCCAAGTATTGAAATCACCACTCTCAAAACAACCTAAGGACAGGAACTGGCCTGGCTTTGTTTTAAATTACTTGTGATGTTRGTTATGTCAACGAATTTCTCAACAGATGGTMTTYACTAGAACCTTTCAATAAATGTACRCATTTAAATTCTGRATTARYARGTTAYTARCTATCAATATTTATTGATTRTTATTAAGACTAGAAGGGACTGGAGCTGTCTGCAGAAGCATCACATGGTAATTAGCTGACCACAGAATAAATTGACAGATGAAAGAGCTAGCACAAAGTAACACTGAAAACAAAACTCATCAACATTCCACTACAAGCCTTAAAGTTAGCCAACACCACTCCAACACTTACACACTGTGGACTGCTGAAAGAAGAAAAAGAGAACTTAAGGAACAATCAGCMCAAGAAAGGGACATAACTGAGAAGAACTGTAATTTTATAAATCTTCAGTGGGCTAACTTCTTGAACACTGCAGTTCATCCTGTCCTAAAGGATATTACAGAAGTAGAGAGTATAGGGAAGAACGGCAAGGTCAGTCAAAGACAAAGAACAGTTTCATGCAAGAAACAAATAGAATTCTTGAGGTTGGAAAGAAGGTGACAGTGCAGGAGTAAAACTACTGGATCTATATTTCTAACAGGCTTTCTGGAAGAGTTGTAATTGGAATGACCTGCTACTTCTCACATCCTTTAAAGTGGGAGGCTTAACACAAGTCTGCACTGTTAGGAACACYGTCTCAAGTTGCAGAAGTAAGACACATAAATGGGACCATGAGTCTGTCTTAATTTTGTTTCCCTACTGCAGTAGAGAATGTCATTCAATTTCAGAAACTAGCTAGAAAACCCACTACAAATGCAACAATTTGAAATACAGAAATTGAAGATCTAGCAAACCTGATTATTTCCAGCCAGTTCGTGCTCTCCAATAATGAAAACCACTTCACATCAGTTGCCCAGAAGTCTGTACTGTTATCTGCAAAAAAAARAGARAAAAAAAWTTGKTATGTTCACATATACTTAATTAACAGCTATTTAACTGCCATCCATTGTAATACCCTTCAGTTATGAACTGGCACAAAACAACCAATACTAAGGAATCAGCAAATCTCAATCACTATTGAAGTTGACACCTTGTAAATAAATAAGGAAGTGAAGCAGTCCTACAAACACCAGCAGAGTTTTATAGCACCATAGGCTTTTAGAAAAAGTATGTTGGAGGTTCACAGCAAACAAACCAAATAAATCTGTTGACAAAATGGAAAAGGAAAAAAAAAAGAAGTTTAATCAGACATGATGATCTACACAAAGCTTAACATAAAGAGGCTGGATTTTGAAAATCATTACCATCAGAACCAGAAACATCACTGGTTTTAGAAGTAGGTTACAGAAATGTATGGAATGTAAGACTACCCAAAAACTGTTTTACACAGTTTTTTCTGCAACTAAAACAGGCATTAAAATACATAAACTGGGAGGCCAAGTTCAATATCACAAAGTCGTTAAACTCTTACAAATTCCCCAAGAACTTTTGTGTTGTTTTTCTAATGCAACACAAGTCTCCATTGCTTTTATTTCTATCAAAGCCAGTCAACAGACATTGGAGAGCTCTCACAAGCTCATAYAGCCAGAACAGATTACATTTCCTGCATAAGACAAACCCTGAAGCCCAAGGCCTACAACAGTTCTACTACCAAGAAACCAGATACACACACTTTCCTACACCCCCACCCTTTCCATGACAGCTTCAGTTCCAYGTTTCTGTGTGACTGMTCACCTCCCAGTCTCTCCATACACYTCTAGTGTTTMATTCCAGCACACACACTTYTGYCTCTGCTGCATCTTTCACCTCAAATGCATAGGCATTTGTGTGTTTTGTTTCTGTAGCTGTTCTGCCTCCGTGCCTCTGCCCCCCATCCTGCTCATTACACATTTAAATTTCTGTCACCCCCGCCATAGTCACTAGTTCTCCACAAAAGCATTAGAATGCATCTTCCAGGCTCTGTTCACATTAGATGTAGTTTTCAYCAAATCCTACCACTCTCACAGTAAAGGATTTTCCCCTAATACCTGATCTAAACCTTCCCATTCTCCCTTGTCCCGTCATTCCATGCTCTTSTCTAAAGCTCCTCCCCAGTTCTCTTGTAGCCCCTTTAGGCACTGGAAGGTGCTATAAGGTCCCCCTGGARCCATCTCTCCTCCACATTGAACAATCCCAATTCTCTCAGCCTTCCCTCACAGCAGAGGTGCTCCATCCCTCTGATCATTGTGGTGTCCCTCCTCTGGRCTGGCTCCAGCAGGTCCCTGTCCCTCCTGTGCAGGGTCCCCAGGGCTGGATGCTCCAGGTGGGTCTCAGCAGAGYGGAGCAGAGGGGCAGAATCCCCTCCCTCCCCTGCTGCCCACGGTGCTCTGGGTGCAGCCCAGGACACGTTTGGCTCTCTGGGTTGTGAGTACATGTGGCCAGGACAAGTTGCCTGTATTATATTAACTAGGCATGTACAGGACAAAAGTAATGGTTAATGTGTTCAGAYTTCAAAAGATGGAAATAAGGAGGACATTTCTGTAAGATCTTACTACTTCTGCAAAAGGCTACATGAATGTTCTTCTCAGACTGCAAGTGCATAGTGCTGTATTAAGTGAGGTATAGTCTACTAACAAACCTTATTTAAAAAGCTGTAAGATAAAAACACTTACTGGATTGCAGTTTTAACACAYTCCCTTTTGCATGAATATAAGATAGTGATACAATTACATCATTGAATACACAGTATTTCCAGAGACAGGTTAAAGGACTTAAATTCAAGCTTTGGCCTTTCTCGTACASAGGGTGAATTACCAGAAACCAGATAAAAAGACAGGTAACTATTTTTAGCTCTTAAGATTCATTGTGGATTTGACAGTGAATTCTACATAAAACCCTCAGTGTGAAACCAAATACCTCAAATTAAAAGTGGAGTGGAGCTTTTTTCATCTCAAGAGTTGAGGTCAAAGTGTTTTATGACAGAAAAATAGTTAGAAAGTCTCATAAGAAAGAAGTCTGAAAGCCTAGAGCATACTTGCACATRGCTCCCATTTTACTGCTTTCTAAGGGACAGAATTTAAACAGTTTCGTATGTTTWGAGATGTGCCTAGTGTGCAACAAAACCTAGGGCAAAAATTAATTAGCATTTACACTGCACTCTTGATAGAGCACAAAGGCTAGAAGGCCAACCACAGAAGACTGGAAAATCTTCCCCTCAAGCTTCACTCCAGCTAGTGTATTCCACCTCCCTTCAAAAGTAATTTCCAGATACTGTGACATCTTAGCAAGAGGAGGTTAAGTCAAGAACTACAAACCTTCATTTATATCCCAGACATAAGCAGAGTCTTCATCACATGTTTTAAAATCTGCTTTTAACCACCCTCAAAATCAAGACACCAATCAAGAAAATTACTGCACTCACAAGACATAGATCATTGTTACGCTTTGCTTTAATGTCTGACTTACCTATCAAAAACAGCTGTTTAAATCTTGTGTATGCAGTCTGGATATCTTGCAGAGATGGAAGGCTGCTTGACAAGTCATCCATCTTCAGKAGCTCATAGGGAGGTTTGCTAATTGTCTTACAGATTCTAAATCAAACCATCAAGAGATTAAAGCCTTCTGCTTCACACGTCAAATAATGCACYGACTATTATCACTGAAGACAAAGTTAATAAGCATGATTTGTGAAAGAGCTGTGATACCAGAAGACAGACATCCTGGAAAGCTATGACCTCCATTCATTTTTAAGCACTGCCTGGAAGCTTGCCTACAGGCTTGTAATACGATTTCATGCTTTTAACTATTACATCAATACAATTATATTCATGCCTATTTGAGCGGTTATGAATATTAAAAGCACTACTTGATTTTTACTACTGCTTCTTTAGTATTTTCTTCACTAGACACACCAAAATCACTTTACTAGGGGGCTGCCAGAGATGAATCCAGAAAGAAGAGATTGATAGGAACACCCAAACTTCCCAGSAGAAGCTTAGGAGAGTTTCACTTGACTTTTGCCAACCAAATTACATTCTGATACCTAGCTGCAAGGACTCCCAATGAAACACATAARCAAAGGAAACAATCTGGACTCAAAACAAGACAATATATCTTGCACTTCCCTATATCTCTGCTATTTTTTCCCTTGAAGGAGAGGAAAAAACACCAGGCCAGATGCAGCTTTGGTTTGAACTCAGAACATCCTCCCTCATTCAGATACCAGAGTTCAGATGAACATGAAGAGGCCAGCATGTCTGCTGTCACACTGGCCTCTTATGGTCAAGACCTGGGAAAATCTGCTCTAGCTCATACTTCAGAAGAGCTCATACTTCAGAAGTGAGGCCTTGTGGGCACTTTGCCAGGCAGGACAGAGTTCTTTGCTTCCTGTAGGCTGTAGCACAGAAACCTGCTTTATATGAGACCTACAGTAGTTCACATCAGAAATACAGGTTACCAGACCTCCTGGAAGAYGCATCAGATCAGAGAAGTGAGGGAAAGCAATCATTGGCCTTCTTCCAAATGAGGCACTAAAGAACTTGTTGATCAGAGCTGAAACAACTTGATGATCASAGCTGAAAGATCAGGCTCTGAACAGCTTTTTCAAAAAGTTAAGCTGTTAATTGCAAGTATTTGTTCTTTGCCTGAGTTCAGACTATAATGGCACTTTAACACRCCCTGATGGCCAATTTGTAGACATATTTCAGACTCCAGTGATTAAGCATCACTACTGCACAGCAAAGAAAACCAGCTAAACTCCCCCAAGTTCAAATGGCCCCATAGAAGGGATCAAAATATCAGTGGAGACCTTATTATAGCTTACTGCTAGTTTTACTTACTTTCACATGATGAAATAGCACTGAAGACAGATCTAAGTAATATAATCTTCCCCATTTCAGAGTAGAGACATTAGATAATCTGCAGGAAGGGCCACAAACCTTTCCTATGCAAGTATAATTACGTTTATAAACAAAAGCAGTTTTAAGAGCCCAATCAAGCTGTTTTGTGTTTCTGTGTGATTAACAGGCTCTCCAGCTATGAGGAGCAAGGAGCCAATGTTCAAATTGTAGAGATGAGTCTGATCTAATAGGTGGCTGCTGAGAGAAAAGTTCTGTCTGGGACATGCCACAGGTTAAAWAGAGCCAAAAACAAAGGGTAAAAAGTCAGTGCCATAACAGTCAGGCAGCTGTGCTCTTTAACTTTCCCAAAGTTAAATTAAACTTCGTGTTTTTCAAACTGCTCAACTAGCTCAACTCACTACCCCATCTGAAAAAGTGCTGTCTGCCTTCACATCTGAAAGCTGCAGTAGTGAACTGCTCAGAGGCTATCTTAGACATTTTATCTCAAGTTATCTAAGAACATGAACCTAGTTCTCAGAAGATGGCAGTCTTAAAACTTAGTTTGCAAATCCACATTTAAAGATGGAGTCCAGATTACTCTTACTTGCAAAAACAATTAAGTCCATTAGCTAACGATGTATTTTAGCTGYACTTAAATCCAAAAGGCTTTGCTCGTGCTTTACCAAAATAACACACCAGAGTCTGTACATTCCTCAAATATATATCTGTACATATTCACAAAAAAAACCTTCAGTGAAGCTCCAGTCCTGCTCAAGTGACCAATGCCATTAGGTCAAAGGCTTAAACACATCCCACCACAGAAAGCTACTCTCATATACAGAACTTGTTTCCTGATGGGTGAAAGCTTAAAAGATATAGCATATATGGAAAAAGAGAAGCAAGGTCCATACCAAGCAAAGTGTTGTGGACAGAATAGCTATTACTGACCCATCCAAGAAGGCTTTTTGCATTTGTGAAGTGCTGTCATCCTGTTCTTTGGGAAATGCAGACATTTTGAGAAGAGCAGCACCGTTATGGCAAGACCAACACCAAATCTGCAGAAAGATATTTACCAGGTGATAAAAGTTAGTAAACTGTCCTACACAAGGTATTTGCTTCAGTGACTGAGTGATTTCAAAATTTCTCTGTATTTTACTTCATCGAATTTTTTGTGTATTTAATAACACCATCAATAAAAGCAAACTCCTACACCTCCACCAAAATGCCTCAGTACMCCACATTAGCACTTGCAAGTTTTAAATTAGGCTTTACACAGGCACAGGAAAAACATAAAATGAGATATTATGTCAAAACATTACTTTCTCAACTTCACTCACAGGTGAAAAAAAAATTGATCAAAAAATCTATGCCCAAATTATGTCAGAACTTGTACATAACTTATATATAATCTCCATCAGTTTCTCCATGCAGATGGTAGGTTTTTCTTAATAGTTCAGCATTGAAATAACTCCCAGTAGATACAATGACGTGCTTTTCTATGTGAAAATGGAATATCCACTATGCATAAAGAATTATCTAGGCATAGGAAATAAAATATTGAACACTCCACAGCTGGACTAGATTGCATAGTCACAGGTATTCATGGCAGCAAATCAGTCCTCAAAGCTTCTTACTTCCCCCTGCACGTAGGTTCTTGACTCACTCCTACTGCTCGAAGCTCTTGAGATGATCAATAAATTTGCTTTGAAACAGGGAGTAAGAAACACTTTCATCAGGCATATCAGACAACTGAAATCATGAAGTTGAAGTTCTGCTACCGATTTACAGTAATCAAGAGGTGTCTGACCTCTGATCAAGAGTGGAAAAAATTATTATGCTGTCCTTTCATTGCCTTCTCAAACCAATTTATTATGGTCCACTATCTTGACACTGGCTTCACAGAAATAGTTTGGAAATAATTAGAGAAGTTCTACAAGGCCTCTGGACAGCTACAGATGTTCTCACCTATCCAGATATCGGTAGGGCCTTTGATATGGTTACCMACAACGTTCTTCTCTCTAAATTGGGGAGATACAGATTTGATGGACAGGCTGTTGAGGATTGAGGAACTGGTTGAATGGTCATATCCAGGGAGAAATGTCTCAACACCCAGATAGAGATCAGTGATGAGGGGTGTCCCTCAGGAGCCTGTACTGGGACCAGGACTATTTAATATCTTCATCAGTGACACAGATAGAGATCAAGTGCACCCTCCGCAGATTTCCAGACAACACCAAGCTGAGTGGTGATTTAGACACATGAAAGGACAGGATGCCATCCAGAGGGACCTGGACAAGATCGAGGAGTGGGCCCATGGAATCTCATGTATTTTAACAAGGCCAARTGCTGGTGCTGCCCCTGGGTCAGGGCAGCCCCCGGGATCAGCCCAGGCTGGGCACGAACAGACCGAGWGCAGCCCTGCCCWGAAGGACTCGGGGGTGCTGGGGGTGAGAGGMTGGACATGCCCCGGCCATGGCACTCACAGCCCAGAGAGCCAAACGTGTCCTRGGCTGCACCCAGAGCACCGTGGGCAGCAGGGGAGGGAGGGGATTCTGCCCCTCTGCTCCGCTCTGCTGAGACCCACCTGGAGCAYTRCACCCAGCCCKGGGGYTTCTGCATAGGGAACTCTACAATTCTGTGAATGCAAGATGGAATAAAAAAACCCAAGCCCTTCTGTTTCTATGTAAGAGCCAGGGCAAYAGGTGTCTGACTCTCTGCTAAAAAGTGTGCCAAAGTGTCTTGACYTTTAGTCAGACACTATCTTTTCCACAGACCAATTAATTTAAGTGCATAAAATGAAAMATGGTTTTCCTTGGCAAATTTAATGGACATATAGCAAATAAGGTAAGACCTCACAAGCAAGATTACTTTGCTCCTTGTTTCCATCTTCTCTGTCTTACTGGTTCTTAAGCTACAAGGCAGGAAGTCAAAGCCAGCTTGCTACAGGGAGCAAACCAGTATATTTAGCTTTATTTTCTGCTGGACTGGTAGAACTGGTTTTTCACTTGGGCTCTTTGACTCTGTAAAAAACTCTGCATCATCACAGCCATAGCACTTACCAGAACCYAAGCCAGGTAACTAAATGTGTTCAGCTACACCTCACATTCACAGTCGTCAGTTCAGTATCCCAATAGCATTTCAAGGCCCTTATCTTGCCCCAGCCAGATGCCACTCAGTACAGTCTTGTGAAAAACAGGCTGATGGACAGACAGGCTAGTAGTGCATGTAGGCTTCAGGACATTAATAAAGGGGAACCGCAGTAAATATATATTTTGCTGTTATGTTATATGTATGTTTTGCTACATATTACACTGTTCAGTGAAATTCAGAATGCATCAAGCACTTCTCCTTCCAAAATCTCTTTCCCTTCTTTAGATGACCAGGTATACATGTATGCTGTTAAAAACAAGTTCTGGAAACAATATGCAATAACATCTGAAATGCTAATTGAAATTCTCAGTAGGATTCTTACCCTCAGCCATGCACTTCTACTTACAGGAATGCCTCTGCCTTCATACTTCAAGATACTCTCTTCAGAAATGCATATGGGAACMACAAAATACAAAGGCAGCCTAAAATAACAAATAAGAGTTTCTTGGTCTCAAAAACTGAACAAAGAACAATCTAAAAGCTTCTTCTAATGAYAGTGAGTGTTCTAGCCCAAATTATGTATACACTCTGCTACAATAGTATTTTCTACTAGATAATGATATTGTCCTCAAAGATGTTCCTTCATTTTCAGCTGAATACGCTTTTTTCCCAGCCTTAAACTCCTCACTGTTTTCACTGCAATATTCCCCAGCCTTTGCAAAGATGCAATTAATTGTAACCTCTAAGACTGATGGTTAAGACCACCTCGATTCTCTCATGCTTTGTTGTTTCAAAAGATACATTTGCAATATTAAATGATTAGTTCTCTTTCCATGCCTGTTAAGCAGTTCACATCCTAAYTCAAGAAGGTCATTTCAAATAGCAAGGATTTCCAGCATCAGCTAACATCATTTATGTTCAAGGCCCAAGGAGCAACTAATTAAACTCAGTTTGGGCTTCCTGAGACTGAATTCTAGAATAAACAGGTAAGATTTTTCCAAAGGTCTGTGTAACCTTTCAAGATTTGACTATGAAACAACAGCAGAAGTGAACAAAGCATTGTATATATCCTTAAGGACTCACCAATAAAAGCCACTCAGATAAACTAGTGGCCAAACTCAGCCAAACTTAGCTAACCTTCTCCTAAAGGCAACACAACTTAATTTATACCAGCACATTTTGCAATTTACTTTAAACCAGTTACTTTTTACCCATCCAGCCTTCTCCCAGTTAAAACAGGAAAATCTCTAGTCCACATAGCTTATTTACCAGAGAAGGTACAGGATTGAGGAAAAGTCATCCTTGCAAGCACGRCAGATGTGTAGGTCCCAAACCTACATATTTTCGATTCTCCACTCCAAGATATGCTCAAAGCTTGATTTGAGCAAGGTCCTGAGTAATCTGAACCTAATGTTGAAGYTAATCCTGCCTGAGTCAGGAATTGCGCAGGATCACCTCCTGAGATTACAAACCAAACTATTGTATAAATAAAAATGGAAACTAGATACTAAAAAAAAGTCCTAAAAAACTCTATAATCCCCAGCATCAAAGGTAGCACTGACTTTCGTAAATCCAAAGTTCTTTGTTAACTGGTCAAGCTTACTTTTCAGAGACTCTGTAGCCTTCATTGATGGCCACTGCTTTGTATTTCACGTTCCCTTTGGTCCGCTCCAACTCATCACGCCAGTCCTCGAGTGTTTCAAACATCACAGTTTGGTTTCCCCCATCTGTGAGACATCAATAATGTTAACTTCACAGACAATCACAAACTCCTCRCACAAAAGCATTCCTAAGAAAACCTTTTATTTGCCATTAAGGTAAGCAAGCAGAATCTCTTGTGTACAGAAAGCCTTCAGTCAAAGATAAAATGCCTGTGTACACCACACTGCCTCTGCTGATCTTTAACTCTGTCTGATCTTTAATTGTCAAATACTGCTGTGACTAATAACTTCAGGAACAGTTTCTCCTGCAGAAACAAATTAGTTGTTACAGAACTTCCATACAGCTGGGACTGTCCTCATATCCAGCCTAGAATCCAGGATACTGTGCAGCAAGTATCATTTTATACTGATTCAGCTGACTGGTATCTAATACTGCAGTTTACAAGCAGAATTAGCAAGCATACCAAAAACCTTTCTACAAAAATTTCAGATACCGSATTTCACTTAAGGTTCACTCTCTTATGACGAATAATTTTATACTGAATAGAACATGTCAGGCACTCAGGAAGAGCAGAAAATTAATTACATCAATTCTGTCTCCATAATTTCAACTGAGAACCTTCCCAGTAATTCTACTTAGCCACCTCAGCAACAGTGAAGACAGCAGCTTGATTTAGCCTCAAATCTTGTATAATAATCACAAAATTTATGGTATAATGTAAATTGTTTTAAGCACATGTCATAAGTAACATCCYACATCAGCTAACAATGAAATACCAAACAGAACTATTATTTCCATTGAAGATACAATGGCAGCTTGAAACTTTCCACTGTAAGAAGATAAGGCAGATGAAAAATTTACAGCTTGGAACAGAACAGTATTGATGAGCTCTTGGAGACAAGATTTTAGAGGTGTCAGATTGTAAGAGGCATAAAAACCAATTTCTAAAGTCTTACTTGGCTTATCCTTTTTTTAAAGAACACTTACTATTGAAAACAGCTATTAAAATACAAAAGAATTGCGGGACAGCATTTCAGTATTGCTTTAAAGAGTAAGCTTCTCTCACATTTGCTCAGTCTCTGCCTGGAAAAGCATGCAGTCTTTCCATTGTTTGTAGCTGAAACCAAACACCTGTTACAGGTGAGGTCTGCATTGTGCCCTGTGCAAACAGCCAGTGTGTCCCTGGGCTGCATCAGGAAATCCATTGTGTAAAAGCTGAATGAAGCCACCATTGTCCTCAGCTGGAGGCCACTGCTCAGTGCTGGGCTCCCCAGGACAAAACAGCACAGCCTTCCTGGGCCAGTGAAAGCCACTGTGATCCTTAAAGGGCTCAAAGCACCTGACATGAGGAGAGGCAGCAGAGCTGGCATCACTCAGCCTGAAGAAAAGAGGGCTCAGCAGGGGCCAATCTCCCCTGGCTGCATAAAMACCAAGGTGGAAGAAGGGGAGGAAAGTACAGAAGATGGATTTATACTCAGTGACTAGACATGAGGCAGCTAAACTACAGTAAATCCCTCCTACATGTAAAAGTAACATTTTTTACTATGAGGACCATCAAACAATGACTGTTCAGAAAGCCTGTGGAGTCTCAGTACTTAAAGATATTCAGAACCCAACTGGACATGACTAAGCTTGCTGCAGTTAACCCTTCTCTGAAGAGGGGCACGTGGAACATGACAAGATGATCTCCAGAGGTTTCTTCTAACCTCAGTGATCCTGAAATTCCTTGACATATTTTGGTCAGTGTTTGAGTAATATCTTGCATACATCAAAATTTCCCTCTGTGAAAGGAATAGGTGTTGCTGGTGCATTAAGGATCAGGTTCCTAACTCAAAACAGCGCTATTATTTCAGCTGAAGTCTGAATTATGGAATGCTAAAAACTGCACTGACAACTTTTTATCTTGAATTTTGCAGCCTAGTGCATTATTCAGCCAAGTTTGATCAAGTGGGAAGATTATGCAATAAGTCAGATATAAGAGGAAGTCAGATGCCTTGCAAACCTATGGTTTTTTTGCAACTGCCTGGAAGAAGCATAGTGCTTGCAAGTAAGAGAAAAAAGGCAAATACTTTCTGATAAGAAGCCACTGCAAATGCAGTAATTTCAGAATTAAGAGCAGGAAGTCTGGTTCACAGCAGTAGTACAGAAAAACCACATGGATAAAATAAGCAAAGTATTTTCTAGATGAACCACATCAAAAACATTTGCACATTTTAGTCACAGTATATTTTCAGTCCAGGGATGCTACTCTTGCTTGGAATTTTTCTGTGCAGCTTCCTGAAGGGCACAGAAACCAACAGCAGACAATTTTAGAKGTTTTTAGCAATATGCCTCACAACACACAACAAAAGAAAAATTAATCTTTTGAAGCTACCTGCCAGCAGGACAGAGCCATAAGCCAAGAACAAACTCCACTAACTGTTAACTCCACTAACTCCCAGACTGCTTAATGAACTAACTATGCCAACAAACAGATCAAAAATAGAAAAACATTTACCTGTGTAATTCGGAGCAGCTGATGCATAAGAGAACAGAAACAAACGTTTAAGCAGCTTAGGAGTCTGGCTATGATGAACTATACCACTGACGATCTAGAAAAGGACCAAAAATTAACACCCAAGYACACACCAAGACTGYCAGTGTAAAAAAATGTGGGTTTTKTTTACCAATCCCTCTATCCAGGTTTTAAACTGGTGGGTTCTATCCCCAACAGCTGAAATCTGACTTTTAGGAAGGTTTCTCTCTTGTCTGCAAGACACTGTACCTACCTTGCCTAAGCAGTATTATATATGTTCAACCTCCAGACTCCAGAATTACTCATACTTAAATAAAATTCATAGACTCTTAGTTTGGAGCTCTGACTAACTTGTCAAAAAACGTGAAGTTATCAGGAAAGTAAAATTACATTCAAGTCTAAAATATAATGAAATTACATGTCGCAAATTGAACAGCTTTACAATTTGCATGAGCTGGAGTCAATTTCCTGTAGCACTCTGAAGTTCCAGTTTTCTTTGAAGAACCACTGTAGCTATCTTTTAACTGCTATGCATAATGATGTTTAATGAAATCACTCTTTTATTTTCTCTCTCTGCTAGAAATGATCAGAAAAACTACTCAAGTTTCAGGGATGTCTCAGAGGGAATTTCATCCTTCCCTCATCCTCACAACTGAACACCCAACACCAAGTTAAAAATAGAAAAGCAAATTAAGTTACTATACTTACCCTTTTCACTTCCTCTTCTTTTGTGTATCTCAGGCAGAAATTAAATACTCTAAGGTCTTTACAGTAGATAATTAACTTYTCTGGGTATTTTCTCTGCTGTCCTGTTAGAAGTTTCTTTTTCTCATCATAAACTGCAAAATTAAAAAARTAAGTAAATATCAAAATGGTACTTGTTGTATCTTGATAAAATCATCCCTGCCTGACTTGTCATAATTCTCAAGAAACTAATTCAAGCCCAAGTTTTCACAAGACAAAACAAGCATCCTACAACACAAGCCAGCAAGCACCTGGGCTAATACACTSAATCTTTTCTTTTAAAACCCATCAAATTACTTCACACAAGGTAACTTGCAGCAAACCAGCTGCTCAGTGGTTATTTCTGTTCACATTCTGACTGCACAGTAAGTTCAAAGTTTCAAGATACATAAAGAACAATTTAGTAGATTTACYCAAGGGGAAGTCCCCAGACATCTGCGACAATTCTAAGTTCCTTAAAAATATTATTTTTTTAACCACCATGAAGTGCCCAAGGCAGATCTCTGCTCATTTCTCTTAGTGGATGCACCATTTCACAATTTCAAGTGCTGCTTGCTGGCCACTGTATATGAAATTAAACAGTGTCTCATAACCAGCTTCACTGGTCTGCCCCAGTTCATTCCTTCACAAATCCACACCATCATTTATAAACACTCCGAATATTCATAACCAGTGCAAGATCAGGCTTTCCAATAAAGCCTTCCCTTACTTATAAATGATCAGCCCAATTCTCATGTACCTTCTTTTAGCAAGCCAGGCACACCTCAAAGCCCTGCCACAAAGCACTCTTTAATTTACTTGACAATTAAAATCTCCTATCTCCTTCAATATGCTGAAGACAACATGAATTTCATCAAACAAAATTCCCTTTGACAAATAAAAATAATTGTTTGAGAATTTGATACCTGTCCTGCTACTGCTCAAATAATGTGAATACACCCATATTTACAGAAATAGTTGATACCCCAGAAGATCCTTGTCTATCAAATTTAGGGACTTTTCACAGCAGATTCTCTGCTTTGAACCACTGCATTTTGAAGGAACTGTTTTTTTCTGTGCCAGCAAGATAATTATTCAAATTAATTTAMTCAAATAAATTACAATTAATAAGCTGGAGGGATAAGAGTGGGTTTTAAAAAGTTTCGTATCTGTCATTTCATCATTCAACATAACTGTAGCTGCTTTTTACAGATCTGTTAAGTTTTCTTAAAAGGATGTACTTGTACAAGGAGCACCAGAACTCTAAGTCCCCAAGGGGTAGAAAGCTGACTTACCTCCATATATTTGATCTACGCATTGYAGAGTTATGTCATTTTCTCCCACAATCTTATTTTTAAATTGTGGCTCCTAGAAACATGAAAAAAAACTTAGAAATGTCACACTGCAGCAACACCTTTTCCCAAGTTAAGGCTTCCTGCACATTGTTTTACTATCRGCATTACCTCTTATTCTTACAATCTGTGTAAAGCAGAACACTGAACAACAGTTATTAAAATATAGACAAATGCAAGTCATATAGTTTATAAGCTCACATAGTTTATAAACTGCAGATATAGCTTTAAGGCTCAGCCATGCTTGAAATGTAGATACAATTTTTACTTTTCAAATAGTTTCAAAGCATGCATTTTTACTGAGAGTCACTTTTCAAATTAGAATCACTGCAGTAAACAGGAAATACAGTAACTTCATGTAATCCAAGCCCTTTTATGACAAGTTTCCTTGCTAAGGGGACCTGGCAGGAAATACAAAGTCTCTTAAAAGAACAAGTATCCCAAGAACATTCCATCACTGAAGTGAGATTTATCATCAGGTAAAATGAAGACACACACACAACCCAATTATCTTAGCTAATGTGTAACCAAACCTGAAGTGATTTGGAGTTCCCTTCATTTCTACCACTKCATGAGTTCAGTTAAAAATGGCATTTGTGTCATGTCACACATAAACACTATTATTTTCAATATTATCACGAAAAAGCTGATGTACATTGTATCAGCAAATTATATTTTACTGTGAACAGAGCTAACCTTATTCAAGTTACTTGCAGGTCAGCAGTACTCTGAGCCAGGTAGTTAGTACTGAACTTTTGTTAAAAGAAATATAGTTGACTTGGCATGTATAAAAATAGTTCAAAGCCAGCAATGGAATAGAAATTAGCACGTCATTACCAATTTTCACTACTGATTTACGTCAAAAGATTCTGCAGCTTTGTCTTAATTAATTCCAGAAGGTCCAATAATCTGTACTTGGCTGCAGAAGCCTTAATTTAATGTTTAAACTTTGTGAAATTTTATCCCAAGGAACTTCWGACTACAATCAGCATGTGCCAAATTGTATTATTCTCACTGTTCTTCGCTGTCAAGGTCACCTTGAACCCGGGAGCCACTCCGCTCTCCTTTCACTCTATCACCTGAATGGACTCAACTGTTTCAATGCTTTATCAAAAACACTGTGGCATTACCATTCTGCTCTGACAGCTCAATTTGAGCACTTGAACCAAAGGACAAAAAGACTGAAACAATGTTTAAGATTTGGGGAGTTTTTAGCTTTTTCAGTGTTTGCAAGCTCAACAGCAATAAGTTTCCAAATCTTTTCAGTAAACACCTGACTTTGAATGAAATAATTCAGTGCCTTACTGAGCCACATATTTTTTAGAGCATTTCTGCTGAGAATCAGCTTGCTCAGTCTTGTACAGCCTGAAATKATACTGCAGATGTAGCTCCAAGTCAAATGAGGCAGATGTTAGCCACCATCAGAGTTACACTTGACATTTACACTTCCACAACTGCTACYGAGACAAAGAGTCAGAAATTAGCTTAAACAAACTGTTGATTAATTTTCAAAACAATGGGCTCTTTTAACTTAAGCTTCACCAACTCATAAAATATAGTGTTATAAACTATATCTAATGTTAGTGTCCACACAAATGCTTGCATTGTCTTTGCCTACAATAGTTATTAGAGCTTAAAGAAGGATCAAGCAGATGCAGTTAATGTACCCATTAAGAAATGTTACACATTTATGTTCATTCTGCGTCTTTATATAAGTTATGAATATTTATTCAGAGCCTGTTTAGTCATAATTAGAAGAGTTGTTTTCTTACATTATCATCTGAAGTAGAATCATCATCAAGGAAAGAAATCTTGAAGTTTGTGCACACAAGTTTTCCGTAAGTGCCACGATTTGACCCATCTTCTTGTATATACTTGTACACCGTGCTGGCTTCACAAAGCAGCAGTTCACCTGCAGAGAAGAAACACTGACTTGCARCTGTGACTGACATCTACAAATGAATCATTTGAATTTTTATCTCAAACTCAGCAGTAACTTCCTGACAGTTTCTCAGAACTGCATGCCTAAAGATATTTCATCACTGTTACACAAAACCACTGAGAGGCAGCTCCTGGAATCAACACATTGAGAGCCGTCCAGGTTACTAACATTATTCCAGAAGGCCTGAACTGCAGATGTTTGGGAGTTCTGTAACCAGGGGTACCTGTGTCATCACCTACTCTAAGCAGCAGGAGAAGAGCAATTCGAGTGTGTACTCAAAAAAACCCCGAAACCCAACAACAGTTCATACAGTCAATAAACAAGTTGAAAATTGTTCCAATATTCCTCACTGTTGAACTCTAAGCATGCTGAAACATTTGAATCAATTATTTCAGGTTCATCACAGTTATTTTTTCATAGCTTTGACTATTTTAAAGTCTCAAAAAATAGACAATTAAATTCCAGTTTTAGAATTCACAGGAACTGAACTTCAAATTTAAGAAAGTAAAGTTTTAATATATGTGATCACACAAGCTCTTGGTCCTTCCTAAACAGTGTAGGAAACCCAAGAGAGGAATACTAGTTTATTTTAAACTTTTACCTGTATTTTGGAAAATATTAGAAAATATTTTCTAAAAAGAAATAACTGTCAATTACAAAAGAAAATCATAACAGTAAATTAAACTAGAAGGCCCAAGTAACTCACAGTAGAGGCAAAGCCACTAGAAGGTAAWTTTCCTCTAGTTCTTGTCTTCAGCTGCAAACAAACAAAACCCACCCAACTTTAACTTCTAAGAAACAGGGCAAACTCAAGTACAGACAGTTCTCCACATACAGTTCACCTAAGGACACTATACTCCACAAAACAAAAACATTTCAACCGGCATGGGCTGTTAAACCAAACCAAAGTRCTTTCCTACTTGTGATACTGATGTCACATGAGTGTCTGCTGCAAACGTGGAAATATTTAAGTACTGTTCGTTAATCACTATTTTTTATTACTTCAGTCTAGTAAAATACAACAGTTACCTGGTAATAAGCGAGGATTTACTTCCTTTTCTATGGGTTCCTTTATGTGTATTTCCTAAAGAGAGAAAGAGTAATTACTACTTTGCAAAGATCATACCTGCCATACGTGTTGKAAAGAACTACACCTTCCCCCTTTAATTCCTCACACTCTTGCAAATTAAAACTAAGGCCAAAAAACTCCTAAACTAAAGAAGAGTATGTTTGCAATGTGATCTTTCCACTTTATGTCAGTAACCTAGCTAAATAATTCTTTTGACATCCACAGTGTCAGTTACATGCATTTGTGAACAAATGCACTATTTGTGTAAGTAAGAAATAAAACATTACCAATATTTCTTAAGTTCTCTCAGCRCACCTAAATGGATAAGCATAAACGAAGCAATACTACACCATCTCCCAGCTCATTCCTAAGCTTTTCCATGTACGACTTGCTACGATTTCTAAGGTACCCTTTAGTTTTTCAAGTTTCATCCATGACGCCATTCTGATTTGCTTACACGCATTATTTCAACCAAAGTGCAGAAGTTACTTAAACAGCACTAACATGACTATATGGAAAGGTATTTCAGGATCTTGGAGCTAAGAGGTAAAAACTGGTGACAGGATATCCTTCAGTTTGGACCCAAAAATGCACAAACCAAACACATTAAATTCTCTGTGTCATTTATTCTAGCCTTTAGGCATTGACAATTGGGCTAAAATCTCCAGCTAAAGACTATTAAACTAGAGGCCCTGCTACACCCTTCCTGCTCAGCTGGTTCAGAACTTCCTCCTCCAAGTCCAAATCACTTTGCATGCACTGGAGTCTTTCTGGAAAACCACAAGTTAACTGGAAACACCCCCGGGGTGCACAGCAGTAAGCAAGCTAATTTTAGTTTGTCACCAGCATCCAGAGTCAGATATTGCAATTCAAGGCAAGCAATCAGGAGAAGATATAAGCAATAATAATTTTGCTGGATTAAATACAGAGAAACAAAAGCCCCTCAGAGTACAAAAATAAACAGCCTCTGCCATTCATATAAACACTTGCTCTCAACTCRGAAGAGAACTAAGATTGAAGGCTGCACAGCAAAGCTAAAACCACCAGGAAACCACGTCATAAGAACAGAAGAGATGTTCAAGATATGCAAAAAGAGAAAAAGGTTATAAAATGAAAGTGGTGGTGGTGTGAAGAAAGAAGTCCATAACTACAGCTGACAGCTAATGCAGAAAACAAAGCCCAGTTCGCTATCTTTGTCTTTTAAGTGTGGATGTTGTAGAAGTAAATTTTAATTAAAGCTCAGGCTTGTCAGCTAAAAATGTTAGCTAGAATGTTACTATGGCTTAAGCTGAATACTTTTGCATACAGAGGATGCTGTCTCCTCACCACTGGTAGCTAAACTTGGGCTTACAAGTGCCTTTAACAGGTCTGCCTTATACAATCATTCTTTGTGTCCAGCTACACGCAACACTGCTCAGAAAACTGCATGCCAACAATCACTTCCCTGAACAGTAAAGCAGTTATACTGGCCAGGTGCTTTTCCAGTACCTTTAACTTTCGAAGATGTCATAAGGCATATAATAACTACTCTTCCTGCATACATGCTGTTTGTACTTACTGCCATGAGCAGCAGTTTATGCTAGTGTTGGCAGGTAAGAACTGGGGAAAATAAATATTCCACCCCGAAGAAATTCTTTGTTTRCATGCTTTTGTTAAAATGCAATAAAGCTTTTACAACAGGTTTCAAAGGCAAATAATCTCAAACAGGTGGTCTGGGTTTTGGTTACAAATTAAAATTGATTATCTTCTGAAAGGAGGTAGAAGTTTAATCAAATAGCATCACAACAAGTTAGAGACCACACCGAGATCACCTTGTAAAATCCAGTATCACTTGTTGACAAAAGCCCACAGACACTGAAGTGTTTATTACAGGCACAATTCCTATAACATTCAACAGATTCCAAGAGTTAAGCCTCCAGAAGAGGTCTATTTGAAAGTGAATGTTACTATTTCCATAATAAATTCATAAACATARTTAAGGTAGTTTTGATACCTATATGCTAAGGATACGACCTAGCATATATGCACCTGAACTCCAGCCATGAGTGTTGCTGAAGAATCCACGCTACTGCACTAATTTTCCAAGGAGAGTATTAAAACACATTGGATTCCCCTTATGTCACACTCTGTATTTGCTCTTTTCAGCAAGAAGGTAAAGATCTTCTGTACAAAAAATTAACTTACCATGAATCAGTTCTGTTCGTGTAGAAACACATATATTAATTCAGCTATCATCTCCACTGTTTCAACTTTATTTTTATAATGAATACAACTTTTGGGGCAGCAAGATCTTGTCACTAGCTGAAGAGCCTGCTGACACTTCAATTCATGCTGCTCAATGCCCTTTAATCAGTTACACGTTCATAGTCACCCACCCACTACTTTATCCCTGGGTTTGTCTGACTACCCGGTGAGGTAATTTGGTTTGTAAAATCAGCTGGGAAGTATGTACTTGTCCTACATTTGGTTTTGTTGTTAGTGCCTATTGTTAGCAGAACTGGCTCATCAACAGGTCAGATGAGCGGAGAAACAAAAGARAGGGAAGCAGCAGAAGTCTGTCCCTTTCGGCAAGCTACCAAACACATCTGGACCTAAGGAATAGTCATCCTCTGACCATTTGCTGAAGCTAAGCATGCAAGAACTTCCCATATGTGACCACTGAAAGGCATGCAAACCCCTAGACAGACAGTTCTTCATCTTTAGCTCCCCTGTTATGAATGCCCCAAGCAGCATTTGGTCACTCCTCACTCAAGATACAACATGGGAAACCCTACTACCAGCCACAGCTAAAAGCAGTCAACACMGCTGAGAGCAATTCCTCTCACTCCACAGGTAAACAACCGAGTACAGGAAATAGGTAGAGAAAAACATTGCCAGAATCTGCATGCCAGAATCCAGATCGTGATAGAAGATCTGTTATGTGATTTTTAAAAACCATTATTGACATATAGATATATGGACGTATAGATATAGATACACAATAATGCTTCCACTGATCAAATAAGTGTGTGCTTTTACTGATGCATAATTTGTGATCATAATTTCCACTGATCTGGACATTTGTGCTAGAGGCAATTCTGACAATGAATAGTGACTTCTAATAAACACACAGAGAAAACATGTTTGACAGATTGAAATGATGAAGGAACAAGTCATCCCTTCCAGGGCATCAAGAGCACTGAAACAGTTGACAAAAAAGTTGACAACTTTCAAAGCTGACAGCAAATAGCAGTGCTGCAACGACACAGGATACATCAATATTTTAATATAGTTTTCCACAAGTAAGCTCTGCACGAGGATGCTCTACATCCTAGTGAGGTTAGCTACCAGCATCTATGTTTTACTTATTTACTTTACTAAAAGACTACAAGAGGGGTAAGAAAAAGATAAATGTATACTTAAGAAAGTCACCAATTGTGATAGTCAAACTGTGTACTGAAATACTTGCAAATTAATTGTGGTGCTCCAACAAGCAAGTATCGCAGTCTTCAGTAAAATAAACTTTTGCGGAACACCTCAACTGGAATTTCACATAAAAGAGGAAACACCCGTGCAAATGTTGAATATCTATTCCACATGCAGAAAGAAATCACATTGCATGCCTGTTTTTTTCTGAAGGACTACTTGTTGATCAAATAAGGTTAATCCAATGTATGCCATACAATCCAGAGCATATACTTACTACACTTTATTAACATTGCTGAGAATAATCTGCTTGTTTTCCTTCCTTTCACAGCGCCATTATCCAAAAGTCTATTAGATCATAGCACATATTTTCCACGTCCGTTTCATCTCTTATCCTCTCCTCTTTCCTTACATTGTCCTGTCCATCTCCTCTGACATCASCGCTTGGCTTCTCCCATGTCAGCCCAGATGCCCATTTCACTAGCTCCTATTCCTTATTCCAMCCTCCAGTTCCACTGCCCCAATTTTGAAGGAGGGCTGCACTTTTTTTAAGCGTGATCAGTACAGAACACACAACATTGTACCAAGATTTACAAAYAAAAACAATGCACGGTGGTTATGAGCTAACAACAGCACAGGATTCAAGAGACAAAGCACACAAGGTATGAAAGTTACCCTCAACAGTCTGTGGTGTACCCCAGATTTCAGGGATAAGCAGCGTGAAGCAGAACAACCTCTTATAGTTTAAAGCCTAACACAAGAAATAACGACCTGCAAGAATTAACATGAAACATTTAGCTTTAAAGAATGCATGCACAAAAACCAACTTTAAGCTTGAAATCAATTTTAATATCTTTTTTTAATTCAAATTAAGATTTTTTAGGAAAATATTATCTACTGCGCTTGCCCTGTAAATAACTTCAGTTTACAAGGTTTGAAAGAGTTGGAAATCATGAAGTAATTCAGTGGTTCTTGTTTCACTGTCTCCACAGACAAATATTCTGAGTCTATGATCTGAAATGTCAAAACATTGACTTTATACCCTAGTATTCACCCCACTTCCTGCAGGGTAGCCAAGTCTGTCCTGAGGGGAAGTGTGTCATTAATATCAACATCCTACGGCCTCACTCTCAACAGACCATTGATTGATCTGTGGTTCCATACAGCAGAGCGCAACTAGCTTATATTTAGTCAGATGTTAAAAACACTGCTTTTCCAGACATTCTGGGGTTTCACAGCAGAAATTACTTCTGTTCCTTTAATAAGCAGCATTTTCTTTTCAGTCCTTACTTCCATCTGGTCATATATTAACATGAATAGAGTTCCTGTTTCTTTTCATATTCAAATAAATGCACGCAGCAGCCTAAAGCTAACTTGATTTTATTTTTCAGATTGTTGCCTACAGTGCCCCTCAAGCATCTGAAGATGGACAAAACAAGGCAGGGCTAACCCAAACCTCAGCTCTACCAGCTAATTGYCCTATTCTAGGGCTCCCCTAACCTGGTACCAGCAATTTAAGGTCTKAAAACAACTTCCCAAGAAACCAGGATGAGACCACAGAAGGTGGAGGGTGCATGCAAGGGGAGCTACAGCACAACACTCCTCTATGGCTCTGTGCTGGACAGTGGTTGATTGGAAATCACACCTCAAGCTGGAAGTACAGGGAGATTCAAGGCAAGGTTCTGTAAATTCATGGAGAAGTCCACCATTAACTCCAACCTCACACAGCTGAAATCTCAAGCTCATCAAATCCCTGAACTGCTGCTTCAAACCCTCTGAACAGGGCCTGCCAGAAAAAGCATCACACCTGTTGCCAATACYTCTTCCATGAGCAGACAGAAGCCACTCAACACCTTGGTGAAGTTCCCAGTTTAGCAAACTATGTTTCACAGAAGCGGAATTAGGAATTTCCACTGTTTTATCAGTCCAGTTCTACTTCTAAAGCTCAGCTACATGAAAGTTAACTTGTACAGGAAATGTGTTCAGAAAGTTATTTTTCTTTGGCACAAGCAGTTCCGTGGGAGATGCTCACTTCTGCTTACTTTAGGATATTCAATCAACATGCTTTTTCTAGACACCAAAATAGCCTCACAGGTTTCATCATGTATTTAAAATTTTATTTTAATCCTCATAAAAGCTACTAAGGTCTTTAGTTTCCTATGAAACCATTAGGGCAGTCATAGGCTGTCAATAGCAGAGTCAAACTTGTTTTACTTGCCAATCACATCAGACTTCAGTTTCACGGTCTCTGAAGGTGCAAGAGACACCCATTCCACAGCAGAAGTAATGTCTTTAACACAAAGTTTCTGCTGCAAGAGTGCACAAAACTGTTGAARTGAAAAATTGAGAGGCTTAAAAGCAGCAAGAATACGTAAGGAATTAATGGCTGCAATGTCCAATGAATCAGGATATTTCATAAAGACCGTCATCTTCCAGTGTTAAATACCTTTGTTACTCTTCCTGCAGCCATCAGGATCATATTTGAAGTGTTACATCACTGCATTTAAAATCAAAGTACTCTATTATTTGGTATCTTGCTGCAGTATGTATATATTTCACTTGTACTCTTTCCCACCAGCCATTTTTTCTAGCAAGTTTTAAATATACACCACACCGATTTAAATGGTAAAATGTCTTCCAGTAAGTCCCACAAATAAAGTTGTTACTTTCACAAAATTCAGTTCCTTGTATATTTGTACAAGGTACTTTCCAAAGGTGAAAAAGTAACTCCAAACAGAGACATACTTGCTGACTCTGGAAATATTTGTACCTATCGTTTACATCGGTTTTCACTTGGAAATACAAGAAAGAGATAAAACTTTTCACGTAAACTGATCAAACGACAAGCCACCAGGGCTGAACAACATATAAAACCGGATTTGCTATCACAAACGAAGGACATAAGTTCTAAATACCACAGCTGGTTTTAGCCATAACAACTCTGATTGTTCTTACAGAGCTGGGGGGAAATAAAACCAGCAGATTCACCACGGTCCTATCAATGACAGATACTGCACTAACTAACAAGATAGACAAAAATCTCTCCCCTAAGAAGCTCTCAAGAGAATTAACGATTAAGAGGAATCAGTTTGACACAGATTTCAAAGAACTTGGAGGAAAAGAAAACCAACACTTACGGCCCACATTAATGAAGTGTTTTCCCTGGAAAACAGCTGTTTACCAGGAATAAGAATGGAAGAATACAGCATACCAATACTGACCTAATACCCTGTGCTAACAAGATGACCTCAGTAAACTGAGCCTAAGGTCACTTTGATCAAATCGTCAACACAAGTTTCGATAAATAAGTGAAAGGACAACAGGCAGAACAATACCGAAGATACACACAGAAAGATAAACACTGCCAAGAATTCAACACCGAGATGTTAAGGAAGGACATCCAGGGCTCTCCAGAGGCAGAACTGAGAGCACGGAGCTCACCCAAGAGAACGCAAAGTGATGCTGCTCAGGGACAATAAGAACAACAGGTTCGGAAAGTCCCACCTCACGGGCCGAGCAGCCGCAGCCCGACATCTGCCCACCGCTTACAGAAACAACTCCGCTGAGCAGCCAGCGCTATTTTTCAAGCTCTTTTTCACGGCGCTGCCTCTCGGCGCAGCCCAGGCAGGCTGCAGTCCCTGGCGGCACCCCCGGCCCCGCTCCCCCCGCCCCGCTCGGCGCTCCCCGCTCCCCGCCCCCCGCCCGGCCCCGCACCTCCGGGCTGATGTAGGACACGAAGGACGGCTTGGCCGCCCTGGCCCCGCCGCCCAACATGGCCCCGGCCCGCGGCGGCGGCGCTTCCCAGCGCTCGTCCCGAGCGGGGAGGCAGCGGAAGGAGCGATCCCGCGGCAGCGCGGCGGCGCCGAGCCGCATCACGGAGCCGGCACCGCCCATGCCCGCCCCCGGCCGCAGCCCCAGCCCGGCCCCGGCCCGCTCAGCGCCGGCCATTTCTGCGGCACCGCCTCCCTCGGTGCCCGCCCTCACGGGCCCGGCCCCCGCCTGTTCCCGGTGGCGGGCAGCTGCGGGCCGGGGGTGTCACAGGCTCCCTCCTGTGCCCGCCCGGGGCCCCTCACGGGTCTGCCCTCGGCCTGCGGGGCGCGGCTGGAGCTAACAGGGTTCCGCCGCCAGCTGTTTTCATTTCGGGGTAACCGCGTGCCTTTTCGCTTGGCTGCAGGGACCACCTGTTCCTGGCTTGTGCCTTGATCCAGTTGTCACTTCCATGGAGTCTTAAAATCATTGAATGGTTTGGGTTGTAAAGGATTTTAAAGCTCATCTCGTTACTCCCCGTTGTCGTGGGCAGGGACACTTCCCTCTAGACCAGGTTGCTCAAAGCTCCATCCAATCTGGCCTTGAACACTGCGAGGGATGGGATGACCACAGCTTCTTTGGACAACCTGTGCCAGGGCCTCACCACCCTCAAAATACATTCTTCCTAATATCACATCAAAACTTCAGCTCATCTATTGCACTGTTTTATTACTSGGCTGCAAAACCCCTGTGTTGTATCTGTGCACATTTATTTAGAATACAACTCGGCATTAMAGAAAATCGAAAGGCATTGAGATGTAGAGTTTTACTTATGGCAGGAGAAGTGTAAGGAAAATGACAATAAATGAGCTTTCCATGAAATAATCCTCTAAACCTTCTAAAACTTGACTGCTGAAAGATCCCGAGAAGTCCTTTGACCAATGCCTCTTTAATGTGTTACAACCAGAGCCTCCCTGGAATGTCGTCTTTGGACACTGTATAATCAGAGCTGTAAATAACCACCAGGTTTAACTGGTATGTAGGTTACTTTTAAAAGCTTCATTTTTATGTGGATACAGAACAATGCAAATATTGTAAACTGCCTGTGGCAATGCAGCAAGGCTACTCAGCAATTCCAATGGCAAAAGGTAACCCAGGCAACAACTTGTGCACAGAGTAGACTCTGGAAATATTTTTACAAAAATAAAAMGTACTTTACAAACTTCAGTAGACCATAGGATGTGAATATCAACAGCTCCTTCAGATGTTGATGGTAAGCGCTTTTCATATAATTCTTCCCCTTTTGTGGTAATAYTTCATTTTATTTACCTTGCTCTCAACACAAACCTAGGAAAACTACAAGAGGAGGGAAAGGGAGTTACAAGACAGCATTTATTAAACCAAAATGTGCTTTTATGAAAGAAACTGTTTCAATTCAGAAATAATTTTCCTGTTTTCAAACTCAACAAATGAGAAGTTGTTTGGATTTAATCACGTTCTCTCTGGTAAAAAAAAAAAAAAAAAAAAACCCAAACCAACTCAAAGATTAGCTTCCATTAGTTTTACAACAAAGGCTATTCTGGTCTGAGATCCCACGCTGAAGAGCTCTCATGTTTCACTCCACAGCTGCTTCCACATCGTTCAGTACATTGCAGCTGACCTCAGCTGCACAGGTCGAAAGCACACCCCATGGGATTGAGTTGGTGCAAATCCAGGGTGAGGGGAAATGTGGGGCGCCACCTCTGTGTATAAAAGTACAGCTCTCTGGTGTATTAAAATACTCAAGGAAAGAGAATAGCATTGTAAAAAAAAATCTTTTAAAGTAACTGAATTTAGAGTGGGAATAACTTGAATACCTCAGCACGCCATGAGGTTCACAGCACACTAAGGCAAAAATCAGCTGCTTACTGACATAGCATTTTTCAAACAGGAAAGGATGTTTTGACACCAGGCCAGAGTCTTAACTCCGATGGGAAGTGCAAAAGGAGCCTTAATTCCCACACAGCACATGGGAATTCATTCTTAAACTTGTCATCAAAAAAAAAGAAAAAAAAAGAATGTAGCTGCTGTTTACCATCAGCAAAATATCCACATGATAATGAACAAGGAGTGCTTCTTCATGGGGTTTGCTCTTTAGGCTGCAAAATGTGTGGGGCTGAACCCATTGCAGAAGGGATTTGAAGCCTTTTTCCTAGAATTTGAGGGTTGGATTTGGATCCCTCCTTAGTCAGCGTGTTCATCTTTTCTGGAATGGAAGAAATAAAGCTATCACAAGCAAGTTAACTCACTTCAGAGAGGAACATTAGCATCTGAAAGGGCCAGCTGCAGCCCTAATACTGTGCCCAGCAGATTACCAAGCATCAAGGGCTTCCATATTCTTCACATTCCCCAGGAAGAACGATATTTTCTCACTTTCACTTCTAAAATCTGGAGTGTCTGTGAGACTACTCGCAAAAGTCAACTTCAGCCACCTCATCTCTRTAAATTCCTCCTTCAGACAGTAGAGGGAAATGGGCTCTTTCCCCCCAGGGGAATGGGCAATGGGGGCAATGGGGGCAGCAAATAAATTCCCTGCTCAGAAACAGCAACAAGAGACTGCCCAGTGCCCAGGGCACCTCAGGAAATCAGCTTGGCCAGGCTGAAGTTGGCTGTCCCAAGAGCCCTCCTTCCCCACCCTCTCTTTACACTCCCCCCRCAGTCAGCTACTGCCTCTCACTTATGTGTTTACATATTTATTTTTTTTGTCATTTTGATGTCCTCGCTCTCTTCAGCATTGCTACTCTGCAGTGTTGTTCCAAATTGCCCCTGGTGTTTTTGAAAATTGAGGAAATAAGACAGTGCAGTGCTGTTCAATCATTTGGGGTTGCTCTCTTCACTAATAAAGATTTATAAAAATACTTTCTGCAACAAACTGGAGTTTATGCAATGGAGTATTAACAGGATCTGTCTTCCCATGTTTCTTTTAAATGGGAAGTGTTGTTCCATGCTGCCAATGACTTTCAGTCCATTTAAAAAATAAAAAAAAAAATAGTGTATCAAATAATGTAATTTAATTTTGTTCAATTTTACATGTATATCAATGACAATCATGCAAATGTGGAAGAGTAAAACTTTTTAAAAGTCAATTTCAGGTTTGTTTTTAGCGGTTGAAGAGAATGCGGCATTTTACTGCCACCATGTTGTCCTGATACTTTCTTCTTTCTAAAAACATAATCACAGTGTTTACCTTTAAAGCTGTTTGCAGGAGGGAATCTCACAGACTAGCTCTGCTCTTCCCATGCACAGAGATTACTTTGTTAAAAAATATACATGCTATTGATTTGAATAATTMTTTGGGCTGCATTCTCAGCTGTGCTTGGTGGGAACAGCTGATGGAAGGGAGACACAAAGGAGCAGTYTGCAGCTTCTCTGCCAGTTTTCTTCCAAGGGTCCTCTTATCTTATATTTGCCTTTGTGACAGTCCTCCTTGTCAGCACTTTCTTGGCTATGGGATGTAAGTATCCTGGACGTTGCATTGTTGTAGGCAGTGTCTGGAGCAGTTTATGAAAGTCACTGAACACAGCTCTGTGTCACATTTCAGTTTTTCTGAGACTGGACCTTTGTAAATCTCGATGCCTTGGGGAATGCAAAGGATGCTTGAATGCACAGGRGGTGCAGGTCACTATGTGCTGTGGGTGCTTCAGCATAGGTTGGACAGATGTAATGAATTTTTAAAACCATTCATGAGTGCTGAGTGAACTTGCATGACCACATCTAATTTCTACTCCCTATTTCCTCTTTTTGAAGGAAGTYGGGGGAGTCTTTGCCCTGTTAAAGACCTACAAAAAGTCACAGGTGTGCATAACTTCCATTCCAGAGTGGTAAATCAGAGGCAGGAATCTGCAGCTGTGCTCATTTTTGATCTCTCATAATGGCTGGATCAAGGTCTGGACGCAATTTTTAGTCAATGCCCTTCCAATGGAGACACAAGTAAAGACTTTGAAGTAGCAACTCGAAAGAGAATCTCAAAAAGTTATCATTTGTCAAGGTTCCATGATATTTCTATTCGGAAAAGCCACCTGGGTGTGGAATTTGAAGATTTTTTCCTTTTTTTCACACTTCTCTGGGCACTACCAGAAGAAGTGCACTTACGTGTGCAAATGTGRGTATTTCTGTTGTACCTGTACAGTTCTCTGGCATTTCACAGAGCTGTCCCAAAAGTGTTGGATTTACCCCGAGTATACAGACATCTGCCATCCATGCTGGGTCTGACAGTCCCTATTTTTACTGTTCAATTAAGTAAACCAGTATATGACTTAGGATCTTAAACAGTAAGGGAACGCATTAAAGTGGCTGAAATCAGTATGCAAGAAATGCAGAAGACTTAAGATGAAGCTGGAAGTTAGATTGCTGGGAACTATCAGGGAAAAAAAATCAGAAACAAGGAATATATTGCGATGTCCTTTGGGAAAAGGTCAGCAAAGCAGCATATAGACAGCTAGCAATTATCTTTGCTTTAGACAGGCTAAGATAATTTTCTRTGAAAAGTCAAGAATGTTGGCTTTCTGCAAATTAAGACAATTCTAAAAAGAAGTTTACAAGGGCTCTGTTACTTCTAACACTGGATTCACACTGACATTTTCATTTACCAGTACTTTCAGTGTCCTTCAGGAATTAGTTTCCAAACTTGGTTCAGATTGCAGTTTGTCACCTTTGAGGTGAAGTAATCTTTGAAGTATTTGGTCAGAGATTGTGTAGTACTGTCTAGTATGAACTCTTTATCTTCCATCATGGTTGCAGTGGCCTTTCTCTACTCACTGCATTATATCTTTCAATTTTTTAAGCAGAGGTTTTTATTCCTTGTTGTGAGAACCTAATCTCTTTGGGGAGATTTTGGGTGGATCTATSCAGGTAAAGGGAAAGGATCTACTCTAGCTTTCCTCACCTGAAATCTCTGGCTCTGATTTCTGTTCCATTCCATGTCTCAGTCCTAAGACACTTTGTGCCCAGTTCCTGAAGGTAGTTGAAGAGATGCATTTTTTTCATAAGGCCATCTGGGATGTCCCATGTGGCCACACATTGTGACTCAGATGGCAAACAGCAGTTCCTTCAGGGGTAACAATACACACCAGTGCCATTCTGTGTCTG